ACTATGACTGTGGTCAATGGTTTGCTTTCTCCACTTTCATGTTAATATTATATATTTAATAGTAATTATGTTTGAAAGCAGTTCTTTAGAGTAAAACATGACAAATATAGTTTGAAAGATATATATATTTTCGTATAACTATGAAAATATATAAACTCTCTTTCTACATGTACACATATATATACATTTTCATATATGTATAAAAATAACGAATAAAAGCAATTAATAAGTCAGTAAGAGAACAGTCCAGTTAAAGGAAAGTGAGACTTGACTGATATTTCTTCAATAGAAGGGAAATCATTGTATATGACAGAATACATTGTGCCATATTAAAAAAGGTGCCTCAACACTTCAGTTAAAGACTATTTTAATGTTAAGAATGTTTTGAAACCGTCGCACTAGCTAGTGTGATCAAGTGTGAGTTAAAAAAAGAAGCAGCAGTTTTCTTTTCTAACCCCACAAAAAATACAGATGATTGACAATGGTCCAAATACCCTACTTGATTTTCAGGGACCCCTAAGTAATGAGGTTGGGTGAAAGGAAGTACTGAAGAAAGTTGTAGTGACATGACTTGGGTTGTGAGAGCTATTCACATATTATTCAACTTGCTGAGGAATAAGTTGACCTATTTTCAAGAAACGTTTTATTTAAGTAAGTTAGCATTTTCTATTACCTTTGGAGACAATTCATCCTGTTCCCACAGAAAATTGTATGTATACATAACAGGTGATGAATTAAAGAAATGATTGTGAAACCACTGATGAGAATTACCTAGAGAGTTTGCAAAACTCACTGAACATTGGTATTTACTTAGTGACATCAATTTACCTAGCTATATTGTAGTGTACTTAGAGTCACAGTTGATAGTTGCTAATGAAGCTGATTTCAAACCCAAAACAGCACAACTGGAATATGTTTATATATCATTGGGAACATCTTAACATGCTTTTAATCAATATCCTTCTCACCTTGTGGGTGTCCTGTGCTGAGGGACAAGGTAAGTTAAACACATATATGAATATTCACTTTCCCTCTTAAATGGAGCTTTATGTTATATCTACTTTCACGTGTCTGTAGTTTTGAATGAATTGACTGGTAGGAATATTCTGCATTGTGGGATCATAACGAAGTAGTATACGTTTGGGGGAAATTATAATAACCTAAAGAAAAATAAAAAAAGTCACATTTTCTCTGTTTCCTGAGTTCCAAAGTGTGAGAAGCCATTTAATACTTATTATTGAGACATGTGAATATGCGCATAAGGCTGTAACGAGAAAACATGTCACAAGAAAAGCCAGAATCTGACTTGGAAATATTTGGGGGCTTTTTTATTTGTCATACAAGGGAATTTTGGAGAGTGGTAAATATTTTCATAGTCTTCATTGTGATGATGGTTTCACAGATTCATACGTCAAAACCTCTCAAAATGTGCATTTTAAATATGTACAGTGTGTTTCATAGCAATTATACATTAATAAAGCTGTTAGAAGGCATTATCAATTTAATAATTCAACAAAATTAGTGGCATGTAAAATTATCTTTCAGCAAAAATTAAAATATATTCTTAATTTCTAGTGTAATGCCAATATATGTTAATTTACTTTTCTGAGTTCATTGGAAAATTTTGCATATATAAACAAATAAATAATTTGAAACCTTTGACTTTAGTAACTGATTTTCCTCCTTCATTATCCTAGAATAGTACTTAATATTTTCTATATTAATTATGATGGATCCCTGGTTTCACAATGGTTAAGAGCTCTGCTGCTAATCAACGGGTCATCGATTGAAAGTCACCACCCACTCCATGGGAGAAAAGACCTGGCGATCTTTTCCCATGAAGATTACAGCCTAGAAAACACTGTGAGGCTGTTCTATACTGTCTTATAGCTCTGCTCTATGTCAGAATTGACTCAATGGCACAAAACAACAATATTAATTCTGTATTTGTAAACAATTCTTTCTCATTGAAGAATAATATCTTAAAACATTACAAATATAATTGGTAGAATCTTTATCTTTAAATAAAAATTATTTTTGTTCTTCACAAAAAAAAAAAAAAAAAAAAACAGATTTACTGTCCTAAAGGAGACTGGAGAAACCCCGAGAGTATGGCCCCCAGACACCCTTTTAGCTCAGTGGTAAAGTTACCTTCGAGGTTCACTGATCAGCCTGCGAGTGGACAGCCCAGTAAAACCATGAGAGTAACGAGGTACAGGAGTCCAGTGACAAGGCCCAGAAGGCAGAAGGGGAGTAGGAAGCTGATGATAGGGAACACAAAGTAGAGTAAGGATATTGTTGATGTGTTGTGAGATTGTTAACCATTGTCATAGGGCAACATTTGTAGTAACTGTTAAATGGGAGACTATTTTGTCCTGTAAGACTTCATCTTAAGTGAGAATAACAGCACAATTAGAAGAGCGTAGTCAATGTCACTTAAATGTGTATGTGTAAAAAAAATTTTTGAAATGGCGTATCTTTGGCTATGTGTATTTTCACCAAAAAAAAAAAAAAAAAAAGTTGAGAATTTAGAGGGTTAAAATGTTGTGGGGTTGTTAACCAATGTCATAAAACAGCATGTGTGTTACTGTTACATGAGAAATTATCTGTTCTGTAAGCCTTCACCTGAAGTGCAATAAAATATTAAAAAAAAAAAAATTATTTTTGTTCTTTAATTCTAATTTTTTTTTCCAAGACATTTTTATTTGGTAGGACCTTTAAGATTTTTTACTTACAGTCTTGTTTTACTCCTTCTTTACAATCTTTATGAATTCTTTATTATATTTTTTAAATGCCTGCCATTTTCTCTTAATTCAATTTCTCTAATTCAATATTCCTATTTCCATGTTATGTAAATGGAAACTCCAGTGAGATTCAAACCAGAAAAACCAGTTTCCATGTCATCATCGCCAACTCACAGTGACCCCATGTGTGTCAGAGTAGAACTGTGCTTCATAGGGTTTTCAGTGGCTGAGTTTTTGGAGGTAGATCACCGGGACTTTCTTCTGAGTTGTCTCTGGGTCGACTCAGTCTGCCAGCCTTTTGGTTAGCAGCTGAACTTGTTAACCATTTGTACCAGCAATGAGATTTAGGATGCCTCATTGAATACCATTTATCAACAGAATATGATTAAATGAACTTTGTTCATTTATTTGTAAGGAAATTCAGTTTAACAATTTTTTGAATGCGGAGTTTGATATGTTGTTTATATCTATTTGGGCAAGTTCCTTCACTAATAGTAACAACAGCAACAAAGCTTTCTATACAGTTTTAAGTTTCTCAATTAAAACACGACAGTGATCCTATTCAACTAGATTGACGGCTCTGTCACCAGTGTACTTGCTAAGGAACCTAGTGGATGTGTAATTTGTCTTTTCTCCTGATTCCCAAGTGTATGTTAAAAGGCCTGTCTTCTGTTAGAGATGGCAATAAAATATAAGACATAGCAGAGGAAGGGCAATCTGCCAACCTGAAAGTGACCAGTTGAATTTGGACAAAGACTGCCTGAGATTCAGTTGAAAACTAGTCTTCTTCAGTAACTCTCTCTAAAAGTGGTCTTTAAGAAAGCTACCCACTTAGGAAAAGAACATATGTGCTGAGATAAAAGTATTTTTATATATCCAGGAGCACAAAATTTATTGAGCAATACATTCTGTTTCATGATGCAATACAAAAGCTGGAAAGAGAAAACAACAAAAAAACACATCCATGCTTCACAACACTTAAGAGATAAAACATTTTAACAAATAAATACATGTAAAGCAAAAAATATATGCATCAAAAGATAAGACTCTATTAACATTCATGGAGAAGTAAAATGATTTTCAACTCCTGAATTGGGTGACTAGATAAGCGAGATTTAAAAAAAAACCACCACCACCACCAAACCCATAGCCATCAAGTCAATTCCTACCCATAGAAACCCTATGCGAGAGAGTAGAACTGCGCCATAGGGTGGCCAAGATGCAGCTGGTGGATTCGAACTGCCACGGTTTTGCTTAGCAGCCTGAGCTCTTAACCACTGCCTCAACAGGGCTCTAAGGGAGCCAGGGGAGGTCTAAACACAGAAGTTGTGCCTGGCACATATTAATCACTTCACAAATTTTTGCTGAATGCTCGGGTGAGTTTTTGGAAAGTTGATTAGATTGAGATCAATGGAAGATGGAGAGATTACTCCGAGCAGTGGAAACAAGGGGAACAAAGATCATGGAGGTTCAACCATGTGTGGCCATTTATGAAGAATAAAAGCATCGTAATTTGCTTGAACTTTAGATTTTCTGAATGACAGTTGTGTGCTATTAAGGTGATTCTGACTTAACAGCGACACTATGGGACAGAGTCGAACTGCCCCATAGGATTTCCTAGACTGTAATCTTTACTGGAGCAGATCGCCAGGTCTTTTCTGCTGCAGAGCAGTTGCTGGGTTCAAACTGAGGACCTTTTTGGTTAGCCGCCGAGTGCTTTAACCATTGCATCAGCAGGGCTCCTCTGAATGAGAGTAACCAGGGATAATCCTTGAAATCCCATTATCAGTTTACAAAGAGTATCTTTCCCCCCAGCCACACTTCTCAAAATGATGCCATTCTCATTTTTATTTTCAGATAAACACTTCATATTTTACAGTGTTTTCTACCACACCATTTGATAGTTTTAATTATTTTGGAACATCAACCATGATCGCTACCAAAATGTAGAAAAATGAATATCCCTGGTTAACTTCTTTGTTAGCTGAATTGCTACATGTACCTTTTTCAAACAAGAACTAAAAAGATAAACTAGAATAAAACAGAAAATAGTAAGATAAAACTGTGCCGTTTTGATATAAGGACTTGAGAAGCATACCAGCCTCATTTTCTCAAAAGCACTATAAAAAGGAATAATAGTTATACATTTTCAACAAAAGGCAGTGATAATTACTCAAAAATGTATAAACATACCAGCATAAATGTTCCTAGAGGACATTCATCAGAATTAGTAATTATATCTTTGTTGTACTGTTCTACTTTTTTTTTTTACTGATTTTATGAATATTTTATATTCAAATTCTCTTTACAGAAAATGGGAAGGGCAAAGGAAGTGAAACATAAAGGAAGGAAATGAAGAACTATAAATAGCAGCATATTTCTTAGACCAGTAGTATATTTCTTAGACCTGCAAAGTCTACTGGATAGAATCATGTTTACCCTCTGTCTTAGTCATGTAGTGCTGCTGTAGCAGAAATACCACAAGTGGATGGCTTTAACAAAGAGAAATTTATTCTCTCACATCTAGTAGGCTACACGTCCAAATTCGGGGCATCAGCTCCAGGGGAAAGCTTCCTCGCTTTGTCGGCTCTGGAGGAAGGTCCTTGTCATCAATCTTCCCCTGGTCAAGGAGCTTCTCAGGCGCAAGGAACCCAGGTCCAAAGGATGCTCTTTGCTCCCAGTGCTGCTTTCTTAGTGGTATGAGGTCCCCATGTCTGTCTGCTCACTTCTCTCTTTTATATCTCAAAAGAGATTGGCTTAAGACACTATCTAATTTTGTAGATCTCATCAATATAACTGCCACTAATCCATCTTATTATATTATAGTGATAGGATTCACAACACATAGGGAAATCACATCAGATGACAAAACGGTAGACAATCATACAATACTGGAAATCATGATACAGCCAAGTGGACAAATATTTTTGGGGGCCACAATTCAATCCATGACACCCTCTTCCTCTGAATTTACATTTTTGTGTGATTTTAATCTTGGAGGTATTTACAAAAGATATACACATGATGTGACTTCAAAACTGACCTCCTCAAACAGCTTTATAGGTTTAAAAATAGATTTTGCCAGTCCTCATATAACTAATACAAGTGGAAAAATTCAGCTAAATATTATAATAGAATTATTAATGTCATTATTTAAACAATTATTTTTCATTAACCTACAGATTGTTTTGTTTTTCCCAAGAGAGAACTTGCAATTTTCCAGAAATAAAACATGGAAAAACATATGGTGAAAATCGCCTAAACAAAACTTTCCAGTTGCTACAGGAAAATATTTCTACTATACCTGTGATCATAGTTATGTATCTGCTTCAGTCTCTCTGGACTCAAATAACCTGCACAGAGGAAGGATGGTCACCAATACCAAAGTGTCGCAGTGAGTAAATTGTCTCACCATTATCTGGAAGAATCATTCATGAGTGGAATGAGATGCGCCAGAAGGGATCAGAGAGTCTTCACACTCATAGGGGTGGGCACTCGAGAAGCAGGCAAAGATAATATATGTCATTCTTCTTTTTATAAGGAGTCATTCATGTAAATCTAATGAGAAAATATATATAATACACTTTTGCTAAATATTTTAATATCTACATATTTTAGTTTCAAACCCTACATTTTTGATTATGCTTTAAGTGAAAGTTTACAATTCAAGTCAGTTTCTCATACAAAAATTTATACACCCATTGCTATGTGACCCCGGCTGCTCTGCGTATAATGTGACAGCACACTCCTCCTTTCCACCGTGGATTTCCCATGTCCATTCAACCAGCTCCCGTCCCTTTTTACCTTCTCATCACGCCTCCAGACAGGACACTTAGTCTCATGTATCTACTTGAGCTAAGAAGCACTCTGTCCACCAGTATTTTATGTCCCGTAATCCAGTCTAATCTTTGTCTGAAGAGTTGGCTTCAGGGATGGATTCACTTCTAGGCTGAGTCCGGGGGCCATGTCTTCCAGGGTCCCTCCAGTCTCAGTGAGACCATTAAGTCTGGTCTTTTTACTAGAATTTGACTTCTGTGCCCTACTTTTCTCCTGCTCTGCTGGGGACTCTCTGTTGTGTTCCCTGTCAGGGCAGTCATTGATGGTAGCCGGGAACCATCTAGTTCTGGTCTCAGGGTGATGGAATCTTGGTTTATGTGGCCCTTTCTGTCTCCTGGGCTAATGTTTTCCTTGTGTCTTTGGTGTTCTTCATTCTTTGCTCCAGGTGGGTTGTGACAAATTGATGCATCTTAGAAGGCCGCTTGCTAGTTTTTAAGACCCCAGATGGCACTCACCAAAGTGGGATGCAGAATATTTTCTTAATAAACTTTATGCCAATTGACCTAGATGTCCCTGAAACTGTGGTCCGCAGACCCCAGTCCCTCCTACTCTGTCCCTGGAAGTGTTTGGCTGCATTCAGGAAACTTCTTAGCTTTTGGTTTAGTCCAGTTGTGTTGATTTCCCCTGTAGTGTGCGTTGTCCTTCCCTCTTGTCTACTATCTAGTTAGTGAAAACCTGACCTCCTCCCTCCCCTCCCCTCCCACGTTAACTATCAAAGAATGTTTTCTTCTGTGTTTAAATCTTTTGAGTTTGTATAATAGTGGTCTTATACAATACTTGTCTTTTGTGACTCACTAAATTCCCTCAGCGTAATACCTTCTGTATTTCTTCCATGTTGTGTTTCACAGATTCATCATTGTTCTTTATTGTTGCCTAGTATTCCATTCTGTGAATATACCATAATTCGTTTCTCCATTCATCCGTTGATGGGCACCTAGGTTGTTTCCATCTTTTTGCTATTTTGACAGTGCTGCAATAAACATGGGTGTGCATACATCAATTTGTGTGAAGGCTCTTATTGTTCTAGGATATAGTCCAAGGAGGGGGTTGCTGGATTATATGGTACTTCTGTTTCTAGGTTTTTAAGGAAGTGCCAAATCAATTTCCAAAGTGGTTGTACCATTTTACATTCCTATCAACAGTGTGTAAGTGTTCCAGTCTCTCCACAACCTCTCCAACATTCATTGTGTTTTTTGGAATAACGTTAGCCTAGTTGGGGTGAAATGGCATTTCACTGTAGGTTTGATTTGCATTTCTCTAACAGCTAATGATTGTGACATTTCCTCATGTGTCTGTTGGCTGCCTGAATGTCTTCTTTGGTGAAGTGCCTGTTCATATCCTTTGCCCATTTTTTAATTGGGTTGTCTTTTCATTGTTGAAGTTTTGAAGTATCTTGTAGATTTCTGAGATTAGACGCTGATCAGATTTGTCATAGTCAAATTTTTTTCCCCAGTCTGTAGGTTGTCTTTTTACTCTTTTAGTGAAGTTTTTTGATGAGCGTTAAGTGTTTGATTTTTGGGAGCTCCCAATTATCTAGTTTCTCTTCTGGTATTTGTGCATTGTTACTTATGGTTTTTATTCTGTTTATGCCATGTATCAGGGCTCCTAACCTTGTCCCTAGTTTTTCTTCCATGATCTTTATTGTTTTAGATTTTATATCTAGGTCTTTGATCCATTTTGTGTTAGTTTTTGTGCATGCTGTGAGGTATGAGTCTTGTTTCATTTTTTTGCAGATGGATATCCAGTTATGCCAGCACCAATTGTTAAAGAGACCATCTTTTCCCCCAGTTAATGGACTTTGAGCCTTGTCAAATATCAGCTGCTGATAAGTGGTTGAACTTATGTCTGGATTCTCAATTCTGTTCCATTGGTCAATGTATCTGTTGTTGTACCAGTACCAGGCTGTTTTGACTATTGTGGTGGTATAATAGGTTCTAAAATCAGGTAGTGTGAGGCCTCCCACTTTGTTCTTCTTCTTGAGAAATGGTTTACTTATCTGGGGACTCTTCCCTTTCCATATGAAGTTGGTGATTTCTTTCTGCATCTCATTAAAAAATGTCCCTGGAATTTGGATCGGGATTGCACTGTGTCTGTAGATTTCCTTGGGTAGAATTCACATTTTCACAAGTCTTCCTATCCATGAGCAAGGTATGTTTTTCCACCTATGTAGGTCTCCTGGTTTCTTGCATTAGTGTCTTGTAGTTTTCATTGTATAGGTCTTTTCTGTCTCTGGTTAGATATATCCCTGAGTATTTTATCTTCTTAGGGGCTATTTAAATACTACTTTTAAATGCAATACTTTTAACAGGTAATATCTAATTTAAACACTCCTTTTACAATTGTGTGAACACAGCTTTTTTTCCAAGAAACTTCATTTTTTGTATATTTCATGTAAAATTTGATATTCTTTTAAATATTTAAAATGCAATTTTGTTTATGCCAGTTTCCTTATTTTTGTGTTTTCCAGTATCTTACCTTTTTGTTACTTTATATTAGTATGTTATTCAATGAATGTAGAGAAAAGGTAGAAAGTGAAAAAGAGAGGATCCTGACAGAGAAAACAAAATGGAATACACTAGGGAGATAAAAGTCTTTTGCCTCCACCTTCGGAAAGCAACTCATGAGAATCAAATGAGGAATAAAAATAGTAATGTTTTTAATATCTAAGAACTCTTACAAATAAAAACTGCTCTCTATTACAAAGCAGATTGATGGAATTGCATATTTTTCTTTCTTATCATGCATAAACTAATTTTTAAGTAACTAATTTTTACACATTTCTCTTTTGGAGATTGTAAAATGCAATACTTTTTAAATTCCATGTTCCACATTATTCATCTTTTGGGTCTTTAGGACTGTGCTTTTTTCCTTCGGTGGAAAATGGGCGTTCTTCATCTACAGGACAAATACATCTGGAAGGTGACACTGTGCAAATTTTATGTGACACGGGCTACAACCTTGCAAAGAATCAGAGCAGCATCACATGTACGGAAGATGACTGGTCCTCTCCTCCCAAATGCAACCCAGCTGGTAAGAAAATATTGTCCTATAAGCGCCAGGTACATTTTTATTTTATAAAGAAATAACTATATATAATATAAGCAGTATTGCTTTTCTTGTTATTGTAACCTTTTCAGTCTATGGTTCCAGTTGCCTATGTAGGTATACAAATCCGTGGCTAGTCACCAGAAAATCAGTTTGTCTACTCTCATAAATACAAGTAATAACAGAAAACACTAGTCAAAAGTATGGTGAAAATCCTTGAAAGATACTGATGTTTCAGTAACCTGAATTTAATGAGTATAGTGAGATTATGCAAATAAGATAAGATTACAAAAAGACAAAAATTTTAAAGATTCATAGATAAAATATCATATTTGTCGTTACCATATAATCATCATACTTGTCATATATCTTTATTAAAAAACCCACTGCCGCCGAGGTGATTTCGACTCATAGCGACCCTATAGGACAGAGCAGAACTGCCCCTTAGGGTTTCCAAGGAGCGGCTGGTGGATTTGAACTGCCCACCTTCTGGTTAGCAGCCAAACGCTTAACCACTGCGCATCAGGGCCGGTTAAGAGTCCTAAGACTATCGATTCGCGGCACTCCCCTCCCCCCCCAGTCACTCCCCGCCCTCCCAACACACAAGGCACACACATCCCCGAAAGGCGCCTCCGGCCGGCCAGAAGAGAAAACAAAACGAGACTCCGAAAAGGTCAGAAGAATTCGCGGACGGGACCGTCCACACCTAGCCCCAGATGGGCGAACCTGACGCGTGCACCAGACGAAGGAGGAGAGGCTGTGCCGGGAGAGCCCCTCGGCGACAGACCGCAAATAGGCGGCGGCGGGAGGCGCAGAGCGGACCTGTGGATCGCCGGCGACCTAGGAAGCGATACACACTGGGGCGCGGCCCCGCATCGGAAGCCGGACGGACGACGCGACGAGGGCGGGCGGCGGAGGGGGAGGGCACCGGAAAGGCGGAGGCGCGGGAGGAAACCGGACACCACCAACCCACGGAAGTCGCGAAGCCTACGAAACGCTGGAGCAACCATCGCGCGCTCGACGGTTGCACACCGCCGACTAGCCCTGCGCGCGCGGAGCCATGGCCCAGTCCAAGGGCACATCGCTGGGGAAGCCGGTTTCAGTCCTGGACCCGGGCCCACGCGGCACGACCGGTCGGATGACGGGGGAATCGATGGCGGCGAAGGATGCGGTGGCGCGCGGAAACGCCAGCGGGCTTTGCGAGGGTGGGGGTGCGCGGACGACCTGGGAAATCCTGAGACACTGTTGGTCGCCAGGAAAACGCACACGTGGTCTCATCGCCAGAACATGGGGCACAAAGGTGGCCCCGTGACGAGTGGAACGCCAGCTGGTCTCTGCAACCCCGAAAACCTCCCACGCCCCGGCCACGATACCAGGACCCCGCACGACTGTGGATGCGGCTGGCCGCCCCCCACCCCCGCGCGGGGGGCCCCACTGTGCGTCCATCCATGCTGTCCCGGGGCACATCACCGGGAACGCCCCCGAGCGAGGTGACCCACGCCCGCGCCGGCACCAGCTGCTGCGGCACTGGACAGGAGCGGGTGGAAAGCTGCACTGCGGCATCCGGTGGGGGCTGGGACGGGTCCCCGGCCTCCCGCCAGCAGGCGCGCGAGAAGAGAACAGCACACCCGCACGCAGCCCCGGCGCAGCAGGGCAGCGCGGCCCGGGGAGACACTCCCCACCCAGGAGTCGGGAGGCGCGGGCCACGGTAGGCGTAGAGCTGCGCGCATCCCCACCGCGGGGCTGACGGAGCTTCCTGGGAAGGAGAAGGTCTCTGCCTAGGAGCCACGACCGCTGTCTGCGCGCGAGAGGAGGGGCGGCGGCTGAGGGATCTGGTACCCAAGGCACCCTTGAGGATCGCTAGAGAAGGCTTTCTTTCCGAGAACGGGTCGTCCCCACCTATGGCCGCCTGTCGGGGCCCTCAAAGTGCTCCAGGACGCCTGGTTTGCGGTATTGGTGAGCACCAGCGGGGAAAAGCATCGCGGCCGGGACCGGAGCCTGCCGCCTCAGGCTCCTATGCCCTTTGTGAGCCGCGTCCACCTTTCATTTGTGCGAGGAGGGAACAGAGCACCGCAGCGGCAACCGGGGGCCCTGGAAGGTTGCGCTCCTTTTTCTCACTAAAGCCAGATGCGGTGAAACGCAGGGCTTCCTGGGTTATGTGGCTCGCGTAAACTTTGGAAAACTCTTTGATACGCACGGCGGGAGCGGTTTATGTCAAAAAGAGCATTGTATCCAGCGAGGCCCAACATCCCCAGACTTTCTCTGTAGAGGGTCCGCACTCTAGGGCGGCCTGCGGGGATACATACTTAGAACATCTCTTGGGGCCCAACCGCGACTACGTGATCGGAGCACCCACGTGACACCAACAGAGGGCTGGTGGATTCGAACTGCTGACAGTTTGGTTAGCAGCCATCCTCCACTTCTAATTTACAGTGACTCAAGTTTAAACTGTCCTTTAGGTAAATACTTAAGTAACAGAAAATAACTATTTTCAGAATTTTTTTTCAGAATTATGGAAGAAACAATATAGCTACAAACAAAATTATGAAAAAGAAGAGAGCAATGCTAATGATAATAAATATGACAGTGTGATGGGCGGGATAATAGGCACACCAGAAGCAAGTGAGAGGAAGAACAAGATTTTAAGAAATCATTTGCCAAAGTAACAGAACACCATTAGACCTAATTTGAACAATGTCTAACACTGGTGCTGTATTTTACTATTAAAAACTTATGTGTGTGTGCTCATATATAATATCTGAACTAATTATTACCAGTATGTTTTCCTCTTAGCAGTGGAGAAATATGATACTAATCAATATGGGAGAACATGGTAAAATTTGTTTTTCAGAATGCTCACTTTGGCAGAGTGGTGATGGACTGGAATGAAATTCAGGAGGCAAGTTTAGAGACCACTGCAACAGGAGCAAAGTCCCTGGGTGGTGCATACGGTTAATACACTTGGCTGCTAACCAAAAGGTTGTAGGTTAGAGTCTATCCAGAAGTGCTTGGAAGAAAGGCCTGGTGATCTACTTCTGAAAAATCAGCCATTGAAAGCCTCATGGAGCGTGATTCTACTCTGATACACATGAGATAGCCATGAGTCATAGTTGACTCCACTGGCAACTGGTATCATTACATTGAACTTTGGCAATGGCTTAGAAAGGAAACCGTGGTGGTGTGGTTAAGACCTATGCTGCCAACCAAAGGGTCATGGTTCATATCCACCAGCCGCTTCTTGGAAACCCTATGGGGGCAGTTCCACTCTGTCCTGTAGGGTCACTATGAGTTGGAATCGACTCCATGGTATACAACAACAACTCCTGCCATGAATCCAAAAACCAAACCTGAGCACCTAGTGGATTGCCAGTCTTCTGGTTAGCAACCTGAACTCTTAACCACCGGGGCAGGAGTAGGGGGTGGTATACAAAGTTTCTGCTTGACTGCTGAAGCTGAGTGGTGGTGTGGCTTTTTCACTGGTGTTTGGCTAGAATATGGTGAATGTTAACACACATGTTTTCTGTTAGTCGGCCCTTTTCGACTAGGGGAACGAGTTTTCTTATAACTTTTCTGTCTGCTTCTTGGAGGCTCCAGTTTGAAGACTTCTGCTCCACCCTGTCCAGGATGTAGCAGAGGCAATAAGGAGATCCAGAGGTGCCTAAGCAGTCTTCCCCCTGCTTTCCTCCTTTCAGAGTCGTCTTAAGCTTTTTTGTTGTGTTAGGTGCATGGTTTTTAGTTGTGAGAGAAAGGACCTGGGAGGAATGGAGGTACTCCATCTAGGCTTCGATAAGTTCTTTACAAAGTTCTAAAATGTCGCAGCGGTGATGATTGTCAGGGCAGCGAAGACAGTAGCCAGACACAACTCTTAAGAGAAGTGGGGCCAAGGAGGGTCACTCAGAGGAGTTGACCCCAGCTTCAGTCGCAGGAGTTTATTTTTAGTCAATACAGTAAGCAGTGAAGCAAATAACAGAACAATGGGCTTTGGGTGAATAACAATAAGTTTCCGGCAAGGGAGAAGGAATTCAGGTAAACAAGCCAATCAGTAACGGGACAATAGGTTTTGGAAAAACAAGTCCTGACAAGTCTCAACATGTTACTAACAAGTCTCAACATGCTGTGTGCAGCATATGGGCCTTTATACATCCATATTTTAATGGCACATATCCCCACAGGAAAACACTTTCTCAGTGTTTCTAATGTTTTAAATTACTGCTTGCCATATGAAATAGTTTTAGTATTTCTAAATTTACCCATAAATTTATAACCAATAGTAAGAGAATTCTTAATGTTCTAACAATGTATTAACTATCAAGAAAATAATTTTCCCATGGATTTTTAAGACTTCTTTGCATAATTTTAGCTTGAACCATTATTTTTATGGTCCCACACGACCGTACGTAGAGAGGACTGCCTATAATGAATTCCATTTTGGTAGGCATTTAATTTTGTTGTGGATCAACTTGATCCCTTAAAGGCTTTTTTTTAGGCTTTATTAAAGCAGGCTTTAGGAGTCTTTACTCCAGGACAATTTTTTCCAGAATGCCAATAAGGCCACTTCTGTAATTTTTGCTCATGATATGGGTATTCAAAGGGGTCTTTCCTTTCTGGCTGGTAAAATGTGCATGTCTCCCTGTTTTGTGTGTTTTCTGGAAATTGATGACTTTATTGTTCTCTGGTAGTTATTCTTTGCCTGTATTTTCATGGAGTTTTGCCGTACGCATTTACAGCATATTAGTGTTCAGTCAGACTCTAAAGGCTTGCAAAGCAGATTTGTAGAGAATTTTCACTCCATAGTTTCTTCTTCTTTGTCTCTCTATCTTGGAAATTCTAGTAACCTCAGCTTGTTTGAACGCTGATTTTTATTTCTTCTATTGAGCAAGACTGCCATTCTCTGCCTGGGTTCTTCATTCCTGTAGTCTTGTCTGGAAAATGTCTCCGAGCTTGAAACCAATTTGATAAACAGGCTCACCTCATTTGTCTCTTTC